GAGTAAGGAGTGCAGGCACAGGAGCCAGGGCGACAGGACGAGGTGGAAAGACATGCTCTGAGGCAGAGCCACGAGCTCCTCACGCCCAGGAGGAGATGGCTCTCAGCAGTCCCAAGGTGGTGAATTCACGCCACTGAGAGTAGGCTGAGGTGGTACAGAGGGGCTGATGGGACAGTGAGGACTGGGTGGAAAGCGTGAATGAGGACTGAGTAGGAGATTGAAGAAAAATGTAAAAACAAGAAACAAAGCATTCCAAATGGCTGATTCGAGAGATGATGGGAGAGGGAGGCTGGGTAGGGTTAGCACGACTGAAGATGAATCACATTTGGGCATAATGAAGGGACACAGGGAATTCATCTCTCCACACAAACTGTCCATTAAATCCAGCCGGTACTCACTCTTAGGGTGGGCAGGGCTTGTTTCCATCCCCTCATACTCCACAAGGACTCCCATGGTGATGGATGATACAGCCGGCTCACACACCTGCTCCAAAATCGTGGCTGAGGTGCTCTCTCCATTTGCGGTGGGTTCATGTTGTCGCTTCTCGCAGAGGAGTGGTACTGGGCTGGGCACTGTGTTAAGAGTGGGACTGGCCAGCACCCACTCCACAAATTCAGTGAAGCTCCACCGAGGGCCTTCCCCGGACAACTGCTTCTTGTGGTGGTGTTCAGGCTGACATGCAGAAATTAGCAGAGGCATCATCCAGGACGATAGATAGGTTCGCCAGAACCTAAGTGCTAAGTGTTCCTTGAAGGAGCGATTCCCTTGTTCAAGGCCAATTAACAAAAAATAAGGATTGTCCATAGTGAAAAAAGAAAAAAAGCCAAAAGCCAAAAACCAAAAAACACAAGACAAAATGAACATGCAATATGCAACGTGTAATGTAATCATTAAATAATTATATGCATAAATTCACAGGCAAATAATACACATTTTTCTTTTTTTTATAGTGGAAGATGTCTGCCACTTGGTGGAAAACAAACACTTTTACAATGAAAATGACATGACATTACCACTATAACCATGGCTGCAGAGGATCACTCATTGGCTCATTAGCCATTCCCATTCCTTAATATAGTTCTTTTCACTTGTTTTGCTTTTGGATTTATATTTAGACATTTAAAAATAACTTTGTGTCAAAGTTCAGCACAGTTTTGTACTTTAGTATGAAGTAGCAAAAGTTTTTAAAGACTAATTGGATCTACATGAATTAAACAATTTACCTATTCTGAATGGGGTTTTTTTGTGGTCAAATGTGACTATTTTGCATCTCCGTTAACAATCTCCTCGGTGTAAATCGAACATTTATTCACAAACATCACTTTTTTTATTTTTTTATTTTTGATAGGTTAAGCTTACCAATTTATCTTTGTTCACTTGGACTTGCTGTTCTCATTTTAATGCATTATTTTTCATTTTCCCTGTCTGTTTCTGTTCTGCGCGTGTGACTGTCTGTAACAGTATTGTCGAAGGGAGAGCAGTTGTGTACACATTTGAAAATAAAACGCATTTTTGAATTCATTTAAAATGCTAAACAAAAGTGAAATATTTTAACAAATGAGCTTTTGATTATTTATACATTTTTATTAAAGTGTTAATTTTGGCAAAATGGCACCCCCTATGCAATGCATATGTTTGCACCTTTGTGCATGCCTATCCTTACAAGCTAATAAAGGAACACCACAGCAAATGCCCAGATATCCATGGTAATACCATGGTGTCAAGTCCCACAAATCACGGCATGGTATTTTTTTTAATATTAACTAAACTAATATTTCTGTTCTTCAGATTGTACACTAGTTATTTGTGATTTCAACTCGGCATGTAGGCATAAGTCTTATCTGGGTTGAAGATCTGGGCCCGTATTCACAAAACATCTTAAGGTTAAAACTAACTTCTAACTTTCCAATATAGGATAAACTCTTACAAATAATGGCTGTGTCAGTCCTAATTTTAGGACTTTTAGGAATATTTTACAAAGTATTTTAGAACTAACTTCAGCTTCTATATCTGTGAAAAGTTAGAGGTAGTCACAAAGTCTCCTAAGTCACTAAGACCAAATCACAAACAATCCTAAAATCCTTGGAACAAACATTTTAGAAATATTTTATTTCCTTTAAATTTATGTCCTTCTTTTCATGTATAAGTTGGGCAAGAAGTAACAGCTGTTATTGCATCCAGTTCAGATTTATTTTACGTTTGCACGTCTATCAGCCATGATTATTATAGCCTGTTAATTAAAAGGCTGCCTATATACATGTGTATTATTTCCGAGATGCAGACATGTAAGAGGCTGACAATTAGCTGATAAGTAGTGACATTTCACCTATATTAAAAAAAAAAAAACTATCTGAATATGGCAACATTTTTATTTAAAAATCTTTATTTGAATATAGTAACATGACACCTTGGTCTACCATATTTCAGATTAAATCACTGACAGAGACCCATCCCCTATCAGCCAATCACTGTGGAAATAGTAAGCTTGTTGACATCATCCATAGCAAGAGGTCAACCCCACCCTTTCTCTTAGCTTAAGAATTCTCCCCATTCCTTAGTAAAAGTTGGTCTCAGCAGCTTTGTGAACAGGTTTTAAGAGGAAACTCTTACCTAAGGATTTCTTCTGCCATTTATGGCAACTCTTAGTGATTGGTAAAATAAAATGATTTGTGAACACAGGAGCAGGCTAAACCCATAGCATGTAAGTGCATTGTTTCTTCAATTGCCTGTTTGCAGAATGATGTTATATTATCATTAAAATGAATCACACTTTTGTTTAATCCAATGCCTGTGACCTCATAAACTGCATTAACAACTCATGCATTAAAGAATCGTATGATGTTGTTGTTGAACAAGTCATACCTTTGTTTGCTCCTACGCCTCAATGGGACTAAATGGGAACTATAACAAGCAACTTTCAGTGAACATTGTATTTATTGTCAGGGTGCACGGTTACATTAGACAAAAAAAACCTTCCACAAAAGAAAAAAGGCATTTCATTGTCTATTCAAGCAACAGATCATAATAAATAATGTTTGTTCACACCAAAGACACTTAACCAAAAGAGTGGATCACAAAGAAATTGGCAATTGCAAGCAATTATATAATGTATTAATGGGTTTGCTGCAAATTGGGAAATAAAACAAAATGGCTGTGCTGGGGATTAAAGCCATTACATGATATATTATTTACTGTTCAATACTCGATTTCCAAATAGGTGTGTGTATATGCCCATTTTAATTCTGCACATTTTCATTCTCTCTCATTTATCAAATGTATTTGGGTAATAAATTCTACAATTTCCCTCATTGCACAACAGTATTGTCAGAAAATTCATCCTGATTTCAATTATACATCCAAACGAACACCGCACAAATTTAAAGTACCTCTACACAAAAGAACCTTTCATATAATAAAAGCATAAATAAAACAGTATAAAAAAAAATTCTAGTTTGGAGCAAAAAACAACTGAGGGAGCATAACATATAGCATAAGAGGTTCTCATCCTTACGATCTGTGAGTGACTAACAGTAAACTAAAGTAAAAACACTGGCACATGGGTTAATGTGTGTCTTTGCTACATAATGAAATAAGCATTTTCAAAAGTTATCTAGAGAGGAATATATCATGCACCATGCTGTAGTCACCATTCTAGCAAAAGCCAAAGTTTGGGAAAAAGCAAGTATAATGAACATGAAAACCCCTGAATAACCCAAGCATTACATACATTAAACCTTTTAAACTTGTCCCCTTAAAATCATATGAAGAACAGCTTGTCCATATAACTTGAGCAAGAATGTTTGCAATACAGTTTGATTTGCATGTTAAAGGTTATGAACAGTATAGACAGTAAATTATAGCTGAAGTACAACACTTCATGTTTAGCTAGCACACCATAAAATCAGGCAAAGGCATAAATATAAAAGCAGGAAGTGGTAAGGCTTGAAATATGATGACATACAATGATGAATATGTAACAGTACCTTCCCAATAATAACGTGTCACTTTTCAAAACCAGCAACATCAGTGCAGTTCTGGTTTAACACACGTACACTTTGGCAAAGAGGCAAGCAATACAAATGCAAATGACACCCTTTTCCACAAAATCTGGTTGAAAATTAACAAACAAACAAAAAACTATATGTGCTAATATTTTATTCTACCGTACAGTAACAGTATTTACACATTTTGACGGCTGCCAAAATATTTGACATTTTACATGTGCTTCTCAGAACACAAGCACACACACACACTACACACGCATGCAAATGTACATGGCAATAAAGACGTCACTGAAAAAAGTAAAATAAAAACTTGTGCAATGTCACAAGTGCTTAGAATTCTGCGCATGTTCAGGCATAAACTTCTAACCCACTTTCATGGAGCTTTTCAGAGGACCTTGACATAATATGGGATAAAAAGCTTTTTGCGCACATTGGGCCTTATGAAACATGCGTAACAATTTCTGAGCAATTTTGAATTAAATGCGACCACTTGCGCAAGAACAGACTTAGGCTACACTGAAATTGGCTTATGTTTTATGAATAAGTCCCACTGAGCTCAAATATCCAGGATATGAGGCCACATCTCCCTTTACTAGTTCCTTTGGTATTAATTTGGGCTGCATACAAGTTTGCAACGTGGGCAATTTCTATCATATCTGCAGTCTACAGATGAAGCAAAATACATTATCACTGCACAAGCTGTGTTTACATATTAAATTACAAGGAAAATGTCTAATTTGGAGTGCGTGGACCTCAAATATTCCTGCTTATATTCACCAACTACATTCAGTTCTACACTAAACTATTGCTTTACATCCCCCACATGGCGGATGTGTTTTTAGTAACTTATGCTATAATTTCAAACTCTCAAACCAGTGTGGAGAAACTATGCCTCGTGGTTTCCAGTTTTTGCTATAGCCCTTTACCTCAAATTTACACCAGTGCTGCTCCTAGCTGACAAATTTACTTAAATGATTTTAGCAAATGGCTGCAATATAACAAAGAGTGAAAAATGTAAGGGGGTCTGAATACTTTCCGTACCCACTGTATATGATGAAAACTCCACTGGGCCTGAGAACATGGCGGTGACGGACAACATAGCTGCCAGGAGTGAAACACAAAGCATTTAGGTGCAAAAACAAGTGTGTTTAAATAGGTCAAGTATGTACAATGCAAATGAGAACAAAATACATGTTCGTTCTTAAATAAAAATACTTATAGGTGTGTGACGGAGAAGGGATGGTAAATGCTGAAGGACAGAAACCCCAGACACATACACACAGCTCAGGGAAGTCACAAACTCTACAATGAAAGCTTCTTCAGCTGCTCAAAGGTGATGAAGAACTGAAACTTAAGTCAAGGATCACAAAACGATCATAACAGACTATGTATAGTCAATTCATTCATTAGTTAATTTGCATTTAAAGTTAAACAACATGTTTTTGCTCACCCAAAGGGGCAAATTTGACATGCTATACAACTTCATGTTCTAATATGCTGACCTCTAGTGGTTGGACTATGCAAACATTACAAAACCAAGGACATTTTTTAAGTCAAAATATCAAAATTAAATCAAAACACATTTTATTGTCAAAGGATACAATTATGTTCCAGGGCCCTAGACGCAGCCAGTTGGGCCAGAAGCCTTTATAGAGAGCAAAAAATCCTTCGTTTTTCCAGGTCTGCATGAGTCCGTCCAGGGTACCCTTGTACAGAAGGTTACCTGCGAGCACACGTTGATTCATCATACGTGTCCTCACCACATCCACTGGGTTGGAGGCTAAAGCACCTGCCAGACCACACGTGAAACTGGAACTAAATAAACAGAAGAAACGATATGGATCACGTTCCTCGTTAGGTCAACGTTTGTGCCTCATTAAAAGGGGTCATATGATGCGATTTCAATTTTTCCTTTCTCTTTGGAGTGTTACAAGCTCTTGGTGCATAAAGAAGATCTGTAAAGTTGCAAAGACTAAAGTCTCAAATCCAAAGAGATATTCTTTATAAAAGTTAAGAGTCAGCCACCCCTACCTATAACGGCTCGTTCGAACACGCCCCCACATATCTACATCACTATGTGGGAAGATTTGCATAACGCCGCCCAAATGTTCACGCAAAGAAAGGCGTAACTTTTATTCTCACTGTAGTATTGTTGCCGCCGCCATGTCCTGAAGACGCTGTGTGCTTCGTTGTGAAAGCCAAACTACTTTGGTCTTCCAAAAGAGGATGATATCCGCTTCGTCATGCCTAGAGCTGATCCGTGCTGGTCACTGAAGAAATGCATCAACTTTGCGCTGTGGATCGCTGGAACGGCTTTCACCGTGGACGAAGCCTGGGGTCGACACATGTGCTTGCCGCTCCTTCGTCGGATCCACCTGCCGCGCCGTTCTCGACACCGCCACCTCTGCTCACTCTAGCCCGGCCTCAGTGCATGCTAAGCCGGGGCTTCCACTCACGCTAGGCCGCTGTTTTTTTGTTGTGAAAGCGAAACTACTTTGTTTGGTCTTCCAAAAAAGAGGACACGACTACAAATCAGTGGTAAAGTTGTATTCACAACACTGTTCCAGAACAGTTCAACCCAAATATCCAGATGTATGCAGCACATTTTATGGAGGACTGTTTACTGATTCTGGGAGAGTAACATTAAACTAAAATGCCAGCAGTTCTGACTCACGTAAGTACGTTTTCATTTAAAGAATTTGCCATTGATGATTCAAATGCGAGTTTCGGCCAGGGTAGAGTAGCACTTGTTGTTTGTCATTTCTCTGATCACAAATGCAGACAGAGTTTTATGTTTACGCGGCGCGATGCAATGCAACGCAACGCGTAAAAAGACAATATAAGTCATTATAATCAGTAATTATGTCCCCACTGGATGCAACAAATGCCTAGTTTGTGATGGGTTTTAATGTTGTCTCGTCGCTCCGGCCGGGACACGGCATCAACAGTATGGTGAGGGGCGTAACAGTTCCGTCTCACCCTTGAGGTATTTGGCCAATCACAACGCACTGGATAGCTGGCCAATTACAGCACACCTTGCTTGTTCAGACCGATGAGCTTTGTAAAAATCGACGCGTTTCAAAAAGGCGGGGCATACAGGAGAAACAATAATGTACAGTATGTGGAAAATAATGGTTTTTTTTTTTTTACTTTAAACCGCATAAACACATTTCATTACACCAAATACACCAAATAATGTTCTTTTTAGCAGCATCATATGACCCCTTTAATAAATCAAATTTTGAATCAACAAAGCAAGTACTGGTAGAGATGCTCACATGAAATGAGTGAACACTGTGTCTCCCATGAGGCCTGAAAGAATCAAATGCTTCTTGGTGATGTCATAGACTGGCAGCTCTACACCCACCACGATGGCCGCCCTCTGTGCGGTAGGAATTACACCCTGAAAACAATGAAGACATCACAGTATTAAAGCAAAACCTATAATGTGTTGCATTTAAAAAGCTGGAATGCTAATGAATAATTCAAACAACTGATGGTCACATATTTTAAAATCTCACCACCGATGTGTAACATAAGACATGACAAAAGCACTCACCCTCCACAGGCCTCGCGTGCCTTCAGTCTGGTAAATGTTAATGAAATTAGACATCATGCTTCCCTGTAACAGGCTGCCTTGAGCCTGCATGCGAATCTGAAAAGCAGAAGGAAATAACAGGACATAAGAAAAAACTAACTTGGGTGAGATCGGTGTTGTAAAAACTAAAAGTGAGGTTAAAGCTAAGGTCAGAAATATATTTAATGCAAGTGCGCACACAGTGCCACGAGCATACATACTAAAGCATGGGCATCGGAACCATTGTATGTGGGTGGGACAAGACCCACTCACTTTTTAAGACCAATGATATTCGACCCACTCACTTTTACTGTTCACTTTTCAGAGTGCCATCGGTCAAATCCATTCCACTTGAGGAATGCCCAAACAAATTAAACTCCATTCTGCATTTTAGCTAAAGCCTTAAGATCCACACTGCTGCCTCCTCAAATCTACTCAACTTGGCTCATTCAGAGTCCATATAAACTAAACTCATTCCGTGTTTTCACCACTCGCACCTGCAGCACTCTCCCGACACAGCAAGGTAAAAAAGCATCTTAGCATATCTGCTGCTCATGGGTCTGTTCTTTGTATGTGGATTACTCGGTTAGCTGAATTTTATTGTTGATGATTTGACATTATGCAGGATTGTTTGGTTCTTTGAAGCTCCTCCTGGAGTTGCTGTTATAGCAACAGGTCCATAAGCTCAAACCTGCCCAAGAGCAGACTTATTTCATGTAAACAGGATTAGTTTGTATCGTTTTAAGTGAAGGTGATTCTGAAAGTCGGTCCCAGCCACTGTTATTTTCTTACAAGTGTACCTTATCAAACCAGGGGGAAAAAATTAATTTATTCTTTATTCATCATGACTTTAAATAAGATCCCCTCCCCCTCCCCCTCTCATAACCCTGAGAAAACAGATATGTTATAAAGTCAGACCTTAAAGTTAAGGTCAAATGATGCGATTTCAATTTTTCCTTTCTCTTTGGAGTGTTACAAGCTCTTGGTGCATAAAGAAGATCTGTAAAGTTGTAAAGACTAAAGTCTCAAATCCAAAGAGATATTCTGTATAAAAGTTAAGTCAACCACGCCTACCTAAAACGGCTCGTTCTAACACGCCCCCACATGTCTACGTCACGATGTGGGAAGATTTGCATAACACCGCCCAAATGTTCACGCAAAGAAAGAAGACTTTTAGTAACTTTTATTCTCGCTGTAGTATTGTTGTTGCAGCCGCCATGTCGTGAAGGCGCTGTGTGTTTCGTTGTGAAAGCAAAACTACTTTGTTTGGTCTTCCAAAAGAGGACGATATCCACTTCGTCATGCCTGGAGCTGATCCGTGCTGGTTGCTGAGGAAATACATCAACTTTGCGCATTTCCTGATCCTGGTAGAGTAGACTACAATGCCGGCTGTTCTGACTCACAGACTGTAAGTACGTTTTTTTAAAGTAAGAATTTGCCACTGATGATTCAAATGCGAGTTTTTAGCAGTATAGAGTAGCATTTGTTGTTTGTCATTTCTCAGATCACAAATGCAGACATGGTTTTATATTTACACGGCGCGATGCAATGCAACGCATAAAAAGACAGTATAAGTCATTATAATCCGTAATTATATCTCCACTGGATGCAACAAATGTCTAGTTTATAATGGGTTTTAATGTTTTTGTCTCGTCGCTCCGGCCGGGACAAGGCATCACAGTATGGTAGAGGCGTAACATTTCCATCACACGCTTGAGGTATTCGGCCAATCACAACGCACTGGATAGCTGGCCAATCAGTGCACACCTCGCTTTTCAGACCGATGAGCTTTGTAAAAATCGACGCGTTTCAAAAAGGCGGGGCATAGAGGAGAAACAATAATGTACAGTATGTGGAAAATAATGTGTTTTTTTAACCTTAAACCGCATAAACATTTCATTACACCAAATACACAAAATAATGTTCTTTTCAGCAACGTCATATGACCCCTTTAAGAGATGATTTATATGTAGATCTAAAACGTTCGGAATTATGCTAACATTTGTAATCATTGGTTTTTAAGGAGATGAAGATTTGATTTTAATTACCTTTAGCACATCAGTTGGATTTGCCAAAGAGGATGACAAAACTCCAGACACCACACCACAAAACACATTAATCACCATAGTCTCATCTGAAAAAAAGAGCAGCCATTAGATTCAGAATGTCCTTCAGTACATTTCATTCAAAATAAAAACACACACACAGGAAAGTAAAGCCACAGAACAAAAAGAGTTTAACAATAAATCAGTAATATTACAAAGATAGTAAGGCAGGAAAAAGACTACAGGCAACAATCAAACGCAGATTAACTCATTTAAAAATCACACAAAAAGCCCTATTTTTGTAAAAGCTCTTTAAGTAAGGTCTTGTTCCACTATTTTAAGATGTAGCAGCCAGCCTTTATAGATCAAGGCACCAATGATAAGAGAGATGTAAAAAAATAAATAAATAAATAAATAAAGGGTAAAGTGCTGATCAAATTTAGATAGAGTAATTCCTTGATCAATGTGACCAAAAGTCAGACCAGCCATTTAGTTTTGCAGCAGAACAGGTATTGGTACCCACACACTAACAGGCTGTATTTAGACTCTTGGCCAGAAGTGTCTAAATACAGCCTGTTCAATACAATAAAAATCCACTGTTGACCAACTGTGGCCTTTCTTTATGGCAGGGATTCAAGTAATACAGATATTGTTTGCAGAGAAAAGAAGATTTTGTACCATGTCAGATGCGCCAGCACCAGATAAGGTAACGCTAGAGACGTGTTTGTCTGCCAATTCGGCACCTTTTGTTTGGACTGTACATTAGTCATGGTGGTTACACCTTGTTTTGTAGTCCAGAATTGGTAGAGCTAGGGTTTTGGCGTAATGGTGGAAAATGTAGCTAAATGCTACATTTAAGTGTCAAAAAAAACAACAACAACTATTCCTTAAAACCCCGTTATGTACCAGACACCAGACAAACAACAGCCACAGGTGAGAAAACAGAATGAAGTTCCAATAAGGTTTGTTCCTGCATGGCAATCAGGCATTTGAGCTTCCATTTACTATATTTAATGTGCTCTATGTATGTGCTTTGATCAATGTTTATATGTAAATAAAAGCCTAAATTAGTTTATTCGCAAGATTATTAACCCTGTAAAACCTGACATATGGAATGTGTTTTTTGCTGAGTATCATATTTGATAAGGATTTTAATATGAGCAAAAATGTCAAAATATGGCCAATAAGATACAATTCTGATAGCTTTTAAAGTAAATCAATGAGATCGTTATAATAGTACAGCAGACTACTAACATGGGTATAGAAAAGAATCACCCCCCTTTAAAATAATCAAATTTTTGTTGCTTTGCAGCCTGAAATGAAGATGGACACGTTTTTGTTTCATCTATATTTTTGTATTTACCCAGTGCAGCTTATAACATCTAAGTGAAAGATATAACATATAACACCAACATGTCAGAAAAAAAGCAATCACGGAGTTGGAAAAAGGACCACCCCCTTGTGTCAGTATTTAGTTGAACCACCTTTTTGCTTTAATTACAGCCTTTAGTCTGTTGGGATTTGTCTCGGTCTCTACTAACTTTGCAATATTTGCAAACTCTTCTTTGCAGAACTGCTCAAGTTCAGTTAAAGTTGATGGTGACTCATATTTGATAAGGATTTTAATATGAGCAAAAATGTCAAAATATGGCCAATAAGATACAATTCTGATAGCTTTTAAAGTAAATCAATGAGATCGTTATAATAGTACAGCAGACTACTAACATGGGTATAGAAAAGAATCACCCCCCTTTAAAATAATCAAATTTTTGTTGCTTTGCAGCCTGAAATGAAGATGGACACGTTTTTGTTTCATCTATATTTTTGTATTTACCCAGTGCAGCTTATAACATCTAAGTGAAAGATATAACATATAACACCAACATGTCAGAAAAAAAGCAATCACGGAGTTGGAAAAAGGACCACCCCCTTGTGTCAGTATTTAGTTGAACCACCTTTTTGCTTTAATTACAGCCTTTAGTCTGTTGGGATTTGTCTCGGTCTCTACTAACTTTGAAATATTTGCAAACTCTTCTTTGCAGAACTGCTCAAGTTCAGTTAAAGTTGATGGTGAGCGTTTGTGGACTGCAGTCTTCAAGTCAATCCACAGATTGTCAGTGGGGTTTGAGTCTGGGCTCTGACTAGACCATGCAAGGACATTCACCTTTTTCTCCTTCAACCACTGCATGCTCAGTTTTGCGGTGTGCTTTTGGTCACTGTCATGTTGGAAGGTAAATCTTCTTCCCATTGACAACTTTCTGGCAGAGGGCAGCAGATTTTTTTCAAGAATTTGACAGTATTTTGCCCCATGCATTTTAACTTCTATCCTCACAATTGCTCCAGTCCCTGCTGCAGAGAAACACCCTCATAACAGGATATCACCACCTCCATGCTTTACTGTAGGAATGCTGTGTTTTGGATGGTGAGCTGTATTGGATTTCCAAATAATAAAATTGTAGTCTCATCTGCCTCTGAATCTTCAAGGTGTGTTTTGGCAAAGCTCAGTCGTGACTGCATGTGGCCTTTCTTGAGGAGTGGCTTTTTTCTTGCAACCTTCCCCTACAAGCCACATTTGTGATATTGTTGTCACATGCACACAATGACCACTCTTTGTCAAATTCCTGCAGCTGCTTCAGAGTTGCTGTAGGACTGTAGGAATTTTAACATGATTATCCATACATTTTCAAAAATCAAATGAATAAATTGCTTCATTTAAATAAATGTTCATCTTGAAATATTACTAACAACACAATTTATTCTTACATTTAAATTATATAAATCAGTAAAGATGTCACAGAAAAAAGACGTGTCCCTGGTGAACGTATATAGAAATACACTAAAAGAACTATCAGCTAAAAAAGAAATAATCAATCAGACAACAGAAGGCACGCAGTAAATTGTGTATAGCAGTTTTTCAGCAAAGTCTTGATCATGTTAATAATTCAGAGAAATTTGCATATCAAATGATACAGTAGGCTTTGTAGGATTAAACAATACATGTTTTACTTTTACAACGTTTGAAGCTTTGGTGAAATAGGGATTCAATGGAGGGACAGAAATCTCTCAGGTTTTATTAAAAATATATAATTTGTGCTTCAAAGATAAACTAAAGTGTTAAAGGTTTGAAACATTTTTCAATGAATAAACCCTTTAATAAATCAAAAACCATACAGCTCAACAATTTAGACCGATTCCTGAGCAAATGGCATGGCAGTTATTTTTAGTATCAAAATACTTGTTTAAAAAAAACAAATTAGTCATTGCTTTTGTCAGATTCTAAACAAACCAAGATTATGTAATATATAATTGATAATTATTGGATTGTATTCTAATCTAAAAAATAAATAAAGTCCGTAACACTTTCTATGAAGCCTGTATTTATAATACATTACAGGGGTATTCTTAAGACATTATAAAGAATGCATTATAAAAAGACCTTATAATATGTTGCATCATCTCATAAATAATCATAACAGCAATTATAATAACTGTAATACTTAAGCATTTGTGGTTATAACTTTTAAGAGTATGATTATTTATAACAAATAATTAATACCATATTAAATCCACTCATCACATTCACATTTAGTCATTTAGCAGACGCTTTTATCCAAATTAATATACAAATGAGGACAATAGAAGCAATCAAAACTAACAAAAGAGCAACAATATGTAAGTGCAAATGTGACAAGTCTCGGTTAGCCTAACACAGTACATGTAGCAAGGTATGTATGTGTATATATATATATATATATATATACAGTGGGTAAGGAAAGTATTCAGACCCCCTTAAATTTTTCACTCTTTGTTATATTGCAGCCATTTGCTAAAATCATTTAAGTTAATTTTTTTTTCCTCATTAATGTACACACAGCACCCCATATTGATAGAAAAACACAGAATTGTTGACGTTTTTGCAGATTTATTAAAAAAGAAAAACTGAGATATCACATGGTCCTAAGTATTCAGACCCTTTGCTGTGACACTCATATATTTAACTCAGGTGCTGTCCATTTCTTCCGATCATCCTTGAGATGGTTTTACACCTTCATTTGAGTCCAGCTGTGTTTGATTATACTGATTGGACTTGATTAGGAAAGCCACACACCTGTCTATATAAGACCTTACAGCTCACAGTGCATGTCAGAGCAAATGAGAATCATGAGGTCAAAGGAACTGCCTGAAGAGCTCAGAGACAGAATTGTGGCAAGGCACAGATCTGGCCAAGGTTACAAAAAAATTTCTGCTGCACTTAAGGTTCCCAAGAGCACAGTGGCCTCCATTCCTTAAATGGAAGACGTTTGGGACGATCAGAACCCTTCCTAGAGCTGGCCGTCCGGCCAAACTGAGCTCTCGGGGGGGAAGAGCCTTGGTGAGAGAGGTAAAGAAGAACCCAAAGATCACTGTGGCTGAGCTCCAGAGATGCAGTCGGGAGATGGGAGAAAGTTGTAGAAAGTCAACCATCCCTGCAGCCCTCCACCAGTTGGGGCTTTATGGCAGAGTGGCCTGACGGAAGCCTCTCCTCAGTGCAAGACACATGAAAGCCTGCATGGAGTTTGCTAAAAAACACCTGAATAAGATTCTCTGGTCTGATGAGACCAAGATAGAACTTTTTGGCCTTAATTCTAAGCGGTATGTGTGGAGAAAACCAGGCACTGCTCATCACCTGTCCCAACAGTGAAGCATGGTGGTGGCAGCATCATGCTGTGGGGGTGTTTTTCAGCTGCAGGGACAGGATGACTGGTTGCAATCGAGGGAAAGATGAATGTGGCCAAGTACAGGGATATCCTGGACGAAAACCTTCTCCAGAGTGCTCAGGAGCTCAGACTGGGCCGAAGGTTTACCTTCCAACAAGACAATGACCCTAAGCACACAGCTAAAATAACGAAGGAGTGGCTTCACAACAACTCTGTGACTGTTCTTGAATGGCCCAGCCAGAGCCCTGACTTAAACCCAATTGAGCCTCTCTGGAGAGACCTAAAAATGGCTGTCCACCAACGTTTACCATCCAACCTGGCAGAACTGGAGAGGATCTGCAAGGAGGCATGGCAGAGGATCCCCAAATCCAGGTGTGAAAAACTTGTTGCAT